TGAATTTAGCAATTGCGCTGTGCTAGATACGTCACATGATCGCAGTAGCTGAAACCAGTCAACACTGCTGCTAAAGCACTCTACACTAACTGCAGCTTCAAAGTAGGCTTCTCAAGTACTTACTGTGATTCGGTGGGGGACACAGACGTCTTTGCAGGATCATTCCCGCGGGGACAACAGACGCGCCGCACCATGCCGTCACCAGGAAGTGACGCCGGGCAACGCTCTGGCAATGGAGCTGGAAACTCAATGGTACCATCAAGTTTTCAGCCCCATTGCCAGAGCATCGCCTAACGTCACTTCCTGGAGACGGCATGGTGCATTACATGGAGGAATGGTCTGGTCAGGGAGCATGTTTCCCCCGTCGGATCGCGGTAAGTACTTGGGAACCCTACTTCAAAGTCAATCTCACATAAAGCATATTATAGCAACCCACTATGGGTATGATCAAAACATGGATAATCATGACCAAATCTTACCTCTTAATGCCTGCAGCTGATTAAGAGCACTGTGTGCCACAAAGGGAATCTACGTCTAAATCTGAAGACCTGGATCCAACAGCATTCTCAAGATGCTGCTCTTTTAGAGAAAATATGGTCCTACGCAGAACCCTCAATCCTGGACTGGCACCATTACTAGCCAACAGCACTCTCACCTTACCTGGCCTGAGTTGGACTGAAAAACTGAATCCATATCAGCACCCCTCTCCCACAGCTGCATGGTTTGGCCCTTTTATGATCTTAAAATATGGGGTAGTATAAACACGAGAGTGCATGTTGGGAGCATGTCCAGTAGTCAACAGAAGAGTAAACACAGGAAAGAAAGTAGTTATAAATGTTATATTTGGGTGGACCAGCCACATCCACAGAGATTTAAACATGTAGCATAATGGTCAAAATGCCACCCTAGGATCTGGGAGACCTGCATTCCAACCTCCAGTCAGCCATTATTTATTTATTTATTTAGCTTTCTTGACCACCCTTCCCTGCAAGCAGGGAGGTCATGAAGGCTATGGGTGGCCTGTAGGCAGTCTCACTTCCTCAGCCTAGCCTACTTCACATAGATGGTTGGAACACAAAGAAGAGCCATGTATGCTGCTCTCCTTGAAGGAAGGGCAGGATACACGTGTAGCAGCTACACTAGTCAATTAAAAAAAAATTAAAAACTCTTCCACGTTGTCCATGGTTAGACTTCCTTAAAAAACAACAACAACCAACTCTATCACCCCACCTCTCCCTAAAACTGTCACTGCATTTAACAATGAACATGTTTCCTCTGCATAGTCAGATCTTAGGTCCCCAAAATATTATTTGCGATTAATATAGTTCTATACCCGTATGGCTGATCCTCATGGCTCCGCATGGACACCCAGGTATTCTCACAGGAGAATCTAATTATACAACTCTAACCACTGGCATGTGTGGAAAAGGGACTAGATCACCAAGCAAGTTGCGTGTTCACTCAGAAAGCTGCTTTTGCTTGGCCGCCTCTAAATATCTTAATCTAATATTGACACTTCCACCCTAAAAAAAGATTTGCTGCCCCTGCTGCAAGAGATAAATGTTTCCTTCAGCCATCTAAACTGCAGCAGGTATCAAGCACCACAATCTTTTAGCCAACTGGAATGCCAAATTCAAGTTGGTTGGCACAATCTTTAGCCTACTGGTCTAAAGAATGCTATCATTTAGATAAAGTATTTGAAATATGCTTGCTAGAGAGATAACAGTATGCCACAAGTATCTTTTCAGATGGGTGAACAGAATGGGTTGCAGAGAAAACACTGTGAAGGGTATATGGACCCAGGCCAATGGACCACCAAATCTGCAAAAGACTTTTTCTCTCCCTCTCTCTCCCCCTCTCTTAACTAAAGATGATAAAATTACCTTACACTTAAGGGGGAAAAAATCTGGGGGCGCTTTTAATTTAAAAATGAGCATTATGATTTTAATGGACATTTTGGTTTTATAGTATTTATATTTTATATGCATTTTTAATATGCCAAGTATATTGAAAATATATATCCTTTCAAAGGGCAATGATGGCATTCTCCACATGCACACAAACACCTCTTTACTTCCATAAATCTGCCACCTCTGTGAAAGTCTAGAAAAGAGATATTTATGCTTCCCCAACAGATACTGAAGCCATCCTTGAGGTCTGCTTTCAGGACCTTAGATTTGAATAGTCTGTAAGTGTAATACCTGATTTTCCTCTGGTTTGAGTTTTGGAAGACTTAATTCACTTGAAGAGGCATTTTCCAGCAAACGTATTTGCTTCAACTTAGGAGCTTCAGTTCTCTGAGGTAAAAAGTTAGCTTAATCATTTTTACCAAATTTGGTTTTTAGGATGAAACTGCCTGTAAGCAAACCATTACTATAGACTATTTATTATTTTCAATATGTATCCCGCCTTGCCAGACTAGGGCTGCTTCTACAGGATGGTTTCACTCAGATTTGGCATCCAAACTAGAGGAGGTTTTTAAGAGCATTCACACAACATGGCTCTGCAATCATCCACTTCCTAAATGTGACTTAGTATGATCTTCTAGGAAAGACCACAAAGAGAGTTTGTACAACATACACTCACGAGTACTTCCTCGATCTCCACCAGCCAACTGCCTGTCCTACTCCCCAAGTTTCTTGAACCAAAGATCAAAAACTTAGTACACTGCTAACCATCATCTCACTGAAGCTTTCCTGCCCCCCCTTCCTGCCTAGTCTCCTTGGAAGATACCTGAAGAGGAAGACAGATCCTGATCAGACTGCACAAGAAGAAATCTCCCTCATTGTGGCATGCCTCATTGTGTCCCTGCCCTATTCCCTACCTTTCTTCCAGGTGTGCAGACAGATTGGACCAGAATGGGTGGGCAAATGGGGGGAGAAATCCTCTTGTTGTTCTGGTCTTACATGAAGTGATGGAGTAGAGACTGCTCAAATTGGTCACAACTACAAAGAATACATAATTATTATGTACAAACACACCTAAAACTGCCAAGCGTTGTATAATGACCAACATCACACGGCACCACAAAATTCCCACCATCACAAGAAAAAGTTTGAATGATAGTTTCTAGTCTTCTGTGGTCATAACAGACCTCTCCTTTAGGTACACCGAAAGGCATTCTGACATTTAAAAACAACAACAAAAAAACAAACAAAAACCCCCAACCCAAGCAGCTCCCCAAACCACACGGCAAACTGATCCCTAGTTTCAAAGGCAGGCTGCCATGCGGTTCACTGTTCTAAGATGGATAGTGAAGAACCACTAGACATATGGCGCTAGATTGATTTATACCACACAAGATTGATATGAGTCAAGAGGTCAGAGCTGTTTGACATGACACAAACAGGAAGTACAAGTGCATTACATTTTCTGTTCATCCATACCTTATCACACACTCACTCACACACACACACACCATACAGTGGCTAATAATTGACACTTCATGTATCTGCTGAAGTAAACTCTGACTTGCAAAGGCTTATGGTGGAATAACGTTTGTTAATCTGCTACAACAGGAGTCCAGCAGCACCTTTAAATACTAACAGAAGAGCCCAACTCTGTCTAGGATAGCACTAGTCTATTGAAGTTGACGGACTTTGGTGATTAACTCTGTTTAGGATTGTAGTTTCACACAATTATACCTCTATGACTGTCACACAGTCATCCTTTCTGAAGCTGAATTGATGCAAGGGCTGTTGTCGTATGTTCTGGACAAAGGAGGTAGGAAATAATAACTACACATTGACAAGAGGTACCACAGGGTTATATCACCTGTGTGCACCCACGAAATTGTGTGTTTTCAATTGGCATTCTACCATGGTGAGTTTCTTCAGTTGCACTTGCATTTTTATTCTAGGAAAAGATGATAAAATTACCTTACACTTAAGGGGGAAAAAATCTGGGGTGCTTTTAATTTAAAAATGAGCATTATGATTTTAATGGACATTCTGGTTTCTAGTATTTATATTTTATATGCATTTTCCATAAATGAGGGACCATTAACATTTCAAAATATCAAATAATTAATAGTAACTTGAATCACACATTCTTCAAATAAAATATTTTTTTGAAAATTTATTTTAAAATTCCTAAAGTTAAATAAGCTCTAAAAATGTTTTTGTTTTTACCATTTTCATTTTACCATAGTTCTTCAAATAAAATATATTTTTTGAAAATTTATTTTAAAATTCCCAAAGTTAAATAAGCTCTAAAAAATCGTTTTGTTTTTACCATTTTCATTTTACCATTTCAGACTGGAGAAAGGGAAAGAGTTAAACAATGCATTGCAGGATTATTGATCAATTACATTTTACAAAAAAAATTAATGGGCTGTGTGAAACAAAATTATTTCAGAGCTAGAATATGTCTGAATAATTTTGTACAGTGAGAGGAAGGGGGCTTGTGAAAAAGAAATGTGCAGTCACTAAGCCTTCACCAACAATGCAAACACATGATAGGAAACCACGCTTTGTACATTAAGTAATAAAACAAGAGCTTATAAAAGGAGAAGTTGGGCGTAGACGGCGACGCTGCACACGCTTCAAATCTCAGCAACAAAGCATGAGGGTTTTTTTAAACTTCTCAAACAGCCCTGGATTTCACTAATACAATAAGGTGTGCCACTCCTCAAGACCCATTTGCGTTTACTTCACTCTTTAGCTCTCCTAAGAAGCAAAAAATGGAATCCAAAATGACAGAAAGCCATCCTTTGGGGGGGGGGGGGGGGGGGGGAGAGAGAGAGAGAGCGCAAGCGAGCTGCTCCTTTAAGAGAAACTCTCGCTATAATCCCAGAGGCATTCTACTTTTTGTTTGACAAAGAAACCAGTATATAATCCTAGTGGCCAATTTGGCCATCACACACAGGGATCTAAAAACGAGACTTTGTTTAAACGAATGCTGCTGGGTCCTCTTAAAGCTACAAAATCACCCCACACACACACGTTCGGGGGCGGAAGGGTGGGGGGAGAATCATCCAAGCAGATCCAAGCCCTACTCACCACTTGCATGCTCAGAGAGAGTGGAGACTGACGTCTGGCCCATCCCTTGCCCTGGACGAGGGCCGGGGGGTTCAACAATCAGGCAGCTCGTTTGGTCCTTTGGTAACGTTTCCTCTCCCACCGAAGTTTCCGAGGGCTCATTTCACCTTTTCCCTGCGCTTGCCGTGGTAAGACCAGCCTCCTCCTTACAACTTCTGCCTCCTCTCGCTCGCTCGTTGTAAACCCTCCTCCTCCTGCTGCAGCCCAACTCAGACTGTTCCTGTTTAGCTGAATGCCTGTCATTCCTCTATGCAGATTACTAGGGACAAAGGTCATGGGGAGGGAGTCCCCAGCTGGTACAGCCACACCAAGCTCCCGCTCATCACCCAACAACAGTAGCAGTTTGTAGTTTTAAGCTACTCGCCACTCCCGCACAAAGAACTCAGTGTTAAATGATCCCATAGGGCTTGAATGAGAAAGAATACAGTACTTAGTCATGGTATTTAAACTTAACAAGGTCCTGTTTTCTTTAAGGTGCTTATCCCTATTTAGTTTCCCAACCTCAAGGGGTTGAGCTCTCTCTCTTTCTGATGGTGTTAGTTACAGTACAGAGAGATGTTCAATCCTCTCTTTTGCCCCCTCTCACCCACACAGGGCCACATATACCTATTATAACTATTTGATCTTGCTAATCTCTCCATATATTTATGGACATTGTCATTGCTTAGATCACGCACCTTTTTATGAATGGCTGTTAATCAAAAACATCTGAAGACACTTGCAAAAAGGGCAGTTCTATTTTTAAGCCTACAAGTTTGCCAAGCCTGTTCCCTGAAGAGGTAAACATCTATTCATCCTGTTGCCTAACAGATTGGTAGCCAGAAACACTGGATTTAAAGACAGAACTACAGAATGCTCTAAAAATTATTTGCATTGTACCTACATTATCTAAGAGGCCTTATTGAATACAGATCCCTGGTTTTACCTATGGCTGAAAGTTAATAAAAATAAATAAAAGAGCAGATAAAATCTGAAATTAAGTGTACCACTATTTTCAGAGACACAGACAAGAAAAATCTGATGGTAACTTCAGACTGGCTTTGTCCCTTAACAAAAAATAAATGTGAATCATTGTTTGTGTCTTGTATAATTTACTTCTGGACTTCCTTGCTTGCTACTACTAGACAGGTGTCAGTGAATAGAGGAAGTATCAGTTCAGTTTCCTGTACAATTCGTTTACCAAATCAGAGAGGAAATATGATATTTTTTCCTGCCTTTTCCAGTTATTTTTATAAATTTTACTATTCAAATTGTGCAGTGTCCTCAACCTTATTAAGCCTCAGTGTCACTGAAAATAATTTTAAGAGCCAAAACATTTGTATTTAGAGTTTCTATATGTCCCTTTCTCATATGAGATGCCCTTCATTTTAGAAAGTCAGTGCTACAGAAAAAATGTAGAGGTCCCTGATAAATTACATAACTATTATTAGTTCAAAATTAATTTCCATTACAAAATATTATTTTAATCTTGTCCCATGATTTTCAGTTTAAAGTATTACCTCTTTGCAGGACTTTTTTTGTAGAAAAAGCCCAGCAGGAACTCATTAGCATAATAGGCCACACCTTGACACCACAGCTCATTAGCATATTAGGTCGCAGCCCCCTGTTGCCAGAAGTGTGGTCATCCAGCCACACCCACCTTTTGCTTCTTATTCTGTTTACCTTGTTTGTTGTCAAAACCCAGGGCCTTTTTTTGTAGCAGGGACTCCTTTGCATGTTAGGCCACACACCCCCTAATGTAGCCAGTCCTAATGAACTTCTGCTGTTGGGTGTGGCCTATTATGCTAATGAGTTCCTGCTGCGTGTGGCCAACTCAGGAGCCAGCCGGAACTCTGTTCCTGTGCGTTCCTGCCCCAAAATAGCCCTGCCTCTTTGGCATGTGAGGGCCAGCCAGACATTAAGCTAAGCACATGACTTCTAGTGAAAATGGCAACCAGATATCTATTTCTCCCTTTCCTTTACATACCTATTAGCACAATTTACTCATTCAGTGTTTTCCGATCATCTACATCATCAGAAGGGGTGAGATGAAGAAAAATGGAGAATGGTGATATTAGGGCTCAGATAAATTATACTAGAGATTACAGAGGGAGAAAGGAACTGACCACAACATTTTTGGTGCAAATTCTGTCTTTATAAAATATCTGTATTGTAAATGGTTTGCCTGAACAGAAGGTAAATGCCCTAACTGAATAAATACGGGTAGACTGCAAGACTGGAATTATTGCCTAAAACAAGCCTGTATCCAGGCTCCACCATTCATGTGGTATGACTGACCATCTGGCACTGTTTTCTGGATGCTCCCACCAAGTTTACAAGATGAAAATAGCCCACATATGATCATGTATCTGGGCTTTAGTGCACCCCCTTTACTTGGGCAGATGCTTTATCTACAAGTTTTCCTGAATTACAGGATGATCTTGACAGGATGGAAGACTGGGCTAAAACAAATATAATAAATTTCAATGAGGATAAATGTAAAGTTCTGCATTTAGGTAGGAAAAATCAAATGTGTAATTATAGGTTGGGGGAGACTTGTCTTGGCAGTTGTATGTGCAAAAAGGACCTAAGGGTCTTAGTAGGCCATACACTGAACATGAGTCAGCAGTGTGATGCGGTAGCTAAAAAGGCAAATACAATTTGGGGTTGTATCAGAAGTATAGTGTCTAGATCATGCAAAGTGATGGTTTTGCTTTACTCTGCTCTGGTTAGACCTCACTTAAAAGTATTGTGTTCAGTTTTGGGCACCACAATTTAAGAAGGATATAGACAAGCTGGAATGTGTCCAGAGGAGGGCAATGAAGATGGTGAGAGGTCTGGAGACCAAGTCCTATGAGGAAACGTTGAAGGAGCTGGGTATTTTTAGCCTGGAGAGGAGACAACTGAGAGGTGATACAATAGCCATCTTCAAGTACTTTGAAGGGCTGTCATATAGAGGATGATACAGAGTTGTTTTTTTCTGTTTCCCTAGAAGGTTGGACCAGAACCAATGGGTTGAAATTAAATCAGAAGAGTTTTTGGCTAAACATTAGAAAGAACTTCCTGACAGAGCAGTTCCTCAGTGGAATAGGCTTCCTCAGGAGGTGGTAGGCTAGATGGAGGTTTTCAAACACAGGCTAGATGGCCATATGTCAGCAATGCTGATTCTGTGAACTTAGGCAAATCATGACAGGGAGAGATGGAATGGATGCATCAGTGCTTCGTTCTTGTGGCCCTTTCTTACATGCCCTGGGAAATGCTGATCACCACTTTGGGGTTCAGGAAGCAATTTTTCTCCAGGCAAGTTTGGCTGGAGGTCCTGGAGGTTTTTTGTCATCTTCTGGGCGTGGAACAGCAGTCACTGTGGGTGTGTGCTGGGGAGGTATTTGTGAATTTTTTGCATTATGAAGGGGGTTGGACTAGATGACCCCATAGGTTCCTTCCAACTCTATGATTCTATGAATTCTTGCATTCATAATAATGCTTTCACAAATATTTTCTAAGACAACTAAATACAAACTATGTATACCTTTGAAGTAGATAAATATAAATGTTCTTTCTCCTTATGTTAATCTCCATTGTGTTTTAGATCTTACATAGGAAAGAAAAGCTTCAGTGATCATGTGCTTATGTGTGTGATACAGTAAGGGCTATTTTTGGGCAGGAACGCACAGGAACGGAGTTCCCCGGCTGGCTCCCAAGTTGGCCACGCCCAGCAGGAACTTATTAGCATAATAGGCCACACCCAACAGCAGAAACTCATTAGGATTGGCTACATTAGGGGTGTGTGGCCTAACATGCAAAGGAGTTCCTGCTACAAAAAAGCCCTGGGTTTTGACAACAAACAAGGTAAACAGAATAACAAGCAAAAGGTGGGCGTGGCTGGATGACCACACTTCTGGTAACATGGGGGTGCGGCCTAATGTGCTAATGAGCTGTGCTGTCAGGGGTGTGGCCTAATATGCTAATGAGTTCCTGCTGTTGGGTGTGGCCTGTTATGCTAATGAGTTCCTGCAGGGCTTTTTCTACAAAAAGAGCCCTGAGTAAAACTCTAACTGAAATGACCACTGGTTTTCCTGGAACACTTCTAAGGTTTCATGGGCAGTTTAACAGTTTCTATTCACATAAAAACACCTTCACAAGATCTGAAACATTTGGGGAATTTTTTAAAAGCAGTTTTATCCCACGCTTCCTCCAAGAAGTTCTGGTGGTATGTATGACTCCTCCACCAATTTATTCTGACAGGCTCAGAGATAACAAAGGACTCAGTATCGCCCAATGAGCTTCGATGAATGGGGATATGGACCAAAACCTCTTCAGTTCTAATGTGACACCAACCACTATGCTGCAGGGCCAGAGTATTTTTAAGGAATACATTCATATTAAACATTTATTGACAAAGATGACTTTATACTTTGCCTTTATTCACATTTCATATTTTCTAAAAACAGTTCATTGCCACAACAGTATTTTACAGTGAGTCAGACTGTTGGTTTATCTAGTCCGGTATGGCATACCCTGACAGGCAACAGCTGTCCAGGGTCTGAGGCAGAGCGAAGATCTGGGAGACCCAGGTTTGAATCATCACTTCTGCCATGGAAGCTCACCTTGGGCTAGCCATACTCTCTCAGTCTAACTTACCTCACAGGGTTCTTATGAGGATAAAATGGAGGGGAGGAGAATGATGTCCTTTGGGTCCCCATTGGGGAGAAAGGCACGATACAAATGAATTAATTAAATAAATAAAACTATTTGGCCTGTTGGGGAAGAAGAAAAAGAAGGAGGAGGAGGAGGATATTGGATTTATACCCCACCCTTCATTACCTAAAGGAGTCTCAGAGTGGCTTACAATCTCCTTTTCCTTCCCCTGCCCACAACAGACACCCTGTGAACAGGCCTGTACCCAGGATTTTGTGACTTGTGGGGCAATTTTTTTCTGGTGGGGTTGAAGTTCTCACTGCAGAAAGAAAAGCCATTTAGCCAATAGAAAGCTGTTACCAGGATAGATCTTTAACCTGCAAGCTGTCAACAACTTTAGATGACAGTTCTCAGCTGCTGCAAGTTAATCCCTTCTGCCAGCCTAAGCAACAATTCTAATAACAAGCCAGCAGGTAGGGGTGATGACTTCTATAGTCAAGAAAGTTGACACTTAGGCAGAAAAACTCTCTTAAAGGAGATCAGTTTCTTGACACAGAGTTACAAGGGATCATAGAGGTCACCTACT